AGCAACTGCTCTGGAGCCAGTGTCTGATCCGCCAGTGCGAGACACCTTTTCTGCCATGACACATCCGAAAACTGGAATGCTTCTACACAATCTAAAAATAACACGACCTTTATTGCCGAGCTTGACCGATGAGGCAGTGCTTCGCGGACCCCAGAAGGTCCGCGGACTCCCGTTTGAGAACCACTTAGAGTACACGTCTAAATGGCTGCGAAGTTCTGAACTACTGAACTTAGAAGAAACAAGACGATTACCAAGACTAATGGAAACATTTTACCTTTAAAACAGAGCATGTAGGAGAGGAGTCTGAAAATATACCTCCTTGATCGTGATAAGAGACGCCCGTGAATGTGCCCAAAATGATAGAGTTTGCTATATTACAATCAGATTTAGTCTGAATTATTTCTCGTAATATTCGTGTGCAGAAGTCTGTTAGTTCAGGACTCTAGAGTTCAGTTATTAGGACAGGGTGGACGAGGCGGTTTGAGCCCTAAATACTTTAACCACTAAGATTACTTTGTTGTATGTTTCGCTTTATCGTTCAAGTCCCCATGTGTAAGATATGACTAAATAAATGAAAAAAAAAAAAAAAAAGTCAGTAATTAAGGGGGTCATGAGACGATATCGGGTTGGAATGCTGATGACTTTGAAGAGGCGTACTCGTCCTAGTCTGAATGTATGGGCACATGGTATAGGTAGTGATAATAACCCTTCTATCAAAAGTAAAATATTAATAATGTTTTTTTTGTTTTTTTTTCATTTTTATCACACCCTGTTTTTCCTCCCTCCCATGTAAACTACACTTCCAAGGTCGCTGTAGATGTTATCCGTATAGAATTTGTAGAGTGCGATTAACTAAAGTAAAAGAGTTTAAGTAATTGTGGACTATGTTTGTGCAAAAGCTAAGAAAAATTTACCGTTTTTAAGAAGGCATCTCGGCATGCTCATAGTAACATTCGTTTAACTGCTTACGAGTGCCACGTACATCCACTATTAGAATATTTGTGCGCTCTATGGGATTCATAAAGAAAATGTGGAGTTTCTCAAAGTGAAAGAATAGAAAATTAGGCCCTTCGATTTATCTTTTCCAAATACAAGCACGCAGAATCTGTTTCTCCAATGAGATGTGAGGCAGAGCTGGACTCGTTAAAGGGCAACTCCGCTTCATTTTTGTTATTTAGAAAACTATGTAGCCCTCTTCAGTATCATATAGGAAGACCCCATGTCAAATATTACGATCTAATTCCGTCTATATATTTAATAAACTGGCCAGCAAACCTTCAAGTGAGCCAAGTCGCCGAAATCTGCCAACTCTAGCGTGCGACGCGAAGCGCAATCGTCAGCGCAGTCAATGCGACGGAGTTTGAGCGGCAAATGTTGAGCCACTACGTCAGAGGCATGTGTACGTCATTCTCACGTTTTGTTTGTTTTTACTTCTCAGAGCGAAATTGAACCATGACGTCATGAGTTTCTCCTTCCGGTGTTGGCTGACCGGGCGTTCACGTGGTCACCGTAACGCGGATGCGCTCGTTTGCGCTGGCCTGCGTGCTTATCGGTCTGTTTCTCCGCTCCCTTTCTCTTTCGTCTTCTCCCCTTCCCCCTCTCGCCCGGGCCGTCACCGTCCACGCCACGCGAAGAGACCTGCGCGCGTCGCGTATCCTGTCTCTCGCCCCCCTCCTGAACGTCACAAGACCATGTGGTTTGATGTGACGTGCCCATGACTCTGACCACACGAGACCAATGTTGCCTGACGCAACCGAAGTTTCGGTTTCAGTATCAGCTGGTGTTTAAATTACGATTACACAAATAATATTTCACATTTCGCGAATCCGAAGACGTAGAGTTGTTTAGTAGTGCTTTGTGAAATGGAATCACATGTAAGCCTAAATTTTTCGGAATTAAGCAGAGTTGCCCTTTAAGGCGAGCGTGTTGCAATTAAGAATACTTAAAATAGAGGGAATAAAAACACTGTACTTTCACAGACAACCACACTCTTTCATTTAGCAACAACGAATGTTTATTTCCGGTCACAAAATGAAAGAGTGATTTTCCGTGAAAGTACTCAGTGTTTTTATTCCTTCTACTTTGAGCTGGACTCACTGACGAAGCAAAGACAAATATCTAGATTAAAATAAATGTTTTCTTTTAGCGATGGTTGCAATCATCGTACCTGCACACTTCAACTTCACATTTTCGGAGGAGACGCAACGTTGGGGCAATTGCGCGTTAATGTTACAAAAATGACGCCTTTAACCCTTTGACAGTCGTCGCAGTGCATGTACGACTGATTACACGTTTGAAAGTGCCCGCCTAAATGGGAAACTGCACGAGGTGTTGCCATTTGCTATTTGGTGAATTGTAAACATTCTATTCGAACATTGTTTCGCATTGCAGGGCTATTTATAGTTTTCAAATTAGACGCTCCGTGCAAGTGATGCTCACTTTACATACCAGCCGCTCTGACAGTAATGCCAACGGGAGCACTGGCTCTTCTGACGCAGACTTTCGACGCTTTTCGGAATTAAATTTAGAGGATGAGAGCTCGTCATCCGATGGAGAAGTCCTATAAAGTACCTCCGGTTAGGAACCTGAAGCCGCCGGAATGTCGTGGAATAGCTACCATAGAGGTCTACACACTATCCTTCAACCACAGCCAATCAGAGCTGGGCATTCCAACATCGCTACAACAGCTGCAAAAGTAGCCGACGATACTTGCGCTCCGCATTAGCTGCATGCCGCGGCATAATTTACGAGTTTGAAGTCACGGCTGCTACCTCAGTCAGCAAGAGAGATTTTTGCTCCTTTTCTAGTAAGTTGCTCCAGAAGAGAAAACAAATATTCTGATGTCACACAGTAAGGCCTCAATATTTGAAATGAGCACTTTACAAAGAAAGCTTTAAGATGAATCCTAATTAGAATGGAAAGGTGGTGCATTGCTACGAAAATGCATCGGTGCATCGTGATTACACCTAACACAAAAAGAATTTAAGTAGAGTGAATCATCACTGCGAGTAGAGGGCATACTGTAAAACCCTTAATGTTCGCAAATTTAAAAATTCGCGAAACTTAAGGGCATGCAAATATTTCGGTCCTTAAGGGTTTCAATGCAGGCTCGTGGAATTCACGAAATTTAGTGGCCGCGATTAATCCTCTTGGACCGATTCGCGAAAAATAGGGGCCGCAAAAATAAAGGGTTTCAAAGTATATATTTCCGCTTTTTTCCGCATTAAAGTTCAGTCAATAGTAGCACTTTGTCTCGCCTTCCTTGTCCCATTCTCCGGCACTTTAATTTTCGTACTATCGATTCCAGCTCTATATTGGGAAAGTCCCGATCTAAAGGTTCATTCCCGGTGTCCAGTCATTTGATCTCAATGAGGCGCCATGTCCCGTTTTTGCAAGAGAGCGTATCATCTTGAAATCAATACCGGAACAAATCAACTGTTCAGACGTAGGTATGTACGCTACATAGCATCTTCACTGGTGTCTATTGCATCTGCAGTCGGATGTTCCCATTAACATTGGATGCCTGCAAGCCCGAGAGCAGGCAGTTTTCTGTGGCACGCACACTGCGACGCCAGGACAATGTATGCCACAGATCAACGGGGGATTTCTGCTCCCAGAGCAGAAAATAGATGGGAGTTGAGCACCGTGTGGGAGACTGGGCAATTGCCCAAGTTTCTGAGCTACTCTCTTCCTGGCCTGGTGAGCCGCCAAGACACACCGACATACAAGAGACAAGCTGCCCCGGTGCAATTTGATCCATCTCGGCAGTCTGTCACGAGCATTTCTTTACCGCGCAAATTTAAGCGGCGCTCAACTTCCAGTAGTACTAAATTATGTAATGTAATAGAAGCATTTTGTCAAACTTTCTGGAGCATAGTTAGGTCACACTTTCTTCCACAAATTTCTGTCGGTGCCTTTTGCACGGCGATGAAAGAAACTCATTGCACATTTTTTACTGAACTGCAAATTTGCCACGTGGGTTACATTTCTCGTTCGATTCATTGAGATAGTGAACCTGTTTCCCACCTGCGCATATATCGCAATCACAATACACACTTGCAGGTTTATCGATGTCACAGCGCCAACCGTACAAGGCGTCCGCTTTATACGCAGAGATCCCAAGTTCAATCTGCAGCATAAGCTTACTTGTTTTGTTTTTCCTCAAACATTTTCATTTGGCGATATTTACATTTATTTTTTTACAATTATCACTGTTAAAAAAAAAGAAAAACACATGTTGTCGATGAAACTTCGCTGAACTGAATAGTATAGGACTTCCTTTCCGGAGGTGCAATGGGGGACAGCGGGCTTGGGTTGCCGGCTGGACGCCGCGAAGCGGCGTTTACGGAGGGCCACGCGGGTTAATGGATTTGTAATTCCGCAGACTGTGAACGCAGGCGGGGGGTTGCATGCTCCCCTGTGATACGCGCCGTCCAAAAAGGGTGACCCAAATGGCACAAACTCAACTCGTCGTGCGTATAGCCATTTACGGTCGACATGCACAACGTAGTGCGTACAGCTTTAAGCGGGTTTCACATGCAGCGGTTTTGGCCCTAGAGCGGCGCGATTTCTGCCGTCGCGGCGCTCGTGCCGCTGAATTGCTGGTGCTGGCTAGAGCGCCGCGACGGCAGAAAGCGCGCCGCTCTAGGGCCAAAACCGCTGCACGTGAAACACGCTTTATTTTACTCTTTAAATTACGCGAACGACGCGGCAGAGCGATGCGTGCGAGGAAGTCCGAATCACGACTCCCACGTTCCTAGAGCCGGCAAACTTGGAGCGAAATAGGGTTGTTTAAACAGATGTGAGAACCCTACGAAAAAAATAATCTTCTATTTCAACCCGTTTAATGCTTAAAAGAAAAGTGATCTTTACTTTTTCTTTTTTTAGTTAGTATTTTCTGAACGAAAGAGCCTGTCGAGTTGCACGCGTTCCCAGAGACTGGTTGACTGTTTGGCGGGGAGGCAGCTAAGTTTCTAATTGTTTCGGGCTGGCTCCTTTACCTGGACTCGGAACAGCGTTGGACGGGGCCCGACGGCAAGAAGAGTCGCCCAAGCGCAGAGCGGCAAGGTGCGTGCGAGCGGGGCAGGCCGTCGAGGAAAACAGCTCGAGGAAAACTGACCGAAAGCGAAAGGGTTAAACTCCGGATGTTGCACAAGCCTCGTCAAGTTGGCGGCGCCAATGAGGGACCGCTCAACAGGCGCGCACGCATGCCAAGGATCCGTGACTTCGTTGGCTAAACCGCTAAACTGGCCGCGACCACGCACCACCACACCACGAACACATGCCGGCGCGCGACACCAGCGACAACACCCCTCCCGCCCCTTCTCCTTCTTTCTCGTCCTCCTCCACAATAGTTGCCAGACTGGCCAGACATCAATAGGCCAGATGGACTAAGTTCTAATCTAACCTGACCGTCCTGACGCTGCCGGTTTCATGGCCGTTTTATGCTCGGCTTCACTTAGTTTCACCCAGGGAGCTAGTTTCACCAGTTTCACCGTTTCACGGCTGAAAAAAGACGCAGGCTACATTTTTCACATCGTCGGCGATGTCAAGAAGTGGCAAACTTTCCGCAGCCGCTAAGTGGATCCTCTCGTTTTCAGCAACCGCGTGACTGCGCGTGACCGCGTTCGCAACCGCTTCAACCGCTTCGCGAACACGGTTTTAGTGGTTTTACTACTGTGGTTTAACCAGTTCAATCGCCTGTGTGAAATAAGGGATGAGAAAGCAAAGCTACTTGCGAAAACCGATTTTCGCGAGTGACAAGATTTTTCTTTTTTTTTTTTTCTCTCTCTCTTTCTATACTCTGTTTCACCTTATGATGTACCGCAGGAAAGGCTACAAGCGCGAGCTCCTTGCTCTGGGCCACATCCCGGTGGCGCAAGCGTTATGAGCTCGCGCTTCTAGCCTTCGCTGCGGTACAACATCAGGTGAAACGAAGTATAGTAAAGTTTGGTTCCTTGCGCGCGAGATTGCTTTCCTGCGAAGACAAGCCGGCGCCAGAAAAACGCGCCGATAAGTGCGCTCCAGAGTGTGGGTAAAATATTCCGTTCTTCCCCTCGAATGAATGAACCTTTTCGACGTGCTTGCCTTTTTTCCATGGTGTTGGTCGCGCAACAGCTGCACCAGCTGCAGCTGCCCTGGGTACAAAGTTCTCAGAACCAGTTTGCTCCTCGCACGGCGTGGGTAGGCGACCTTCGAGCAGCGCAAACAATGCACGCCCAAGTTTCCTTCGGAGGGGCTCGCGCGCGGCTCCTTCCTTCCGTGGTCCCACCATGGTAAGTAGGAACGTACCCTGCACAAACCATCGCAATAAACCGTGTTTTTTCTTTTTTTTCATTTTCTTAGCGCGTTACAGTTTAGCGAAATTGGCCTGTTTACACGTAGAGTTTCCGAACACCCTCTCTCTCTCTCTCTCAGAAACAAGGAGCACGCGCCACTTTTTCGGTCACGTTCACACGGGGAATCTGTTTCCCGAAACCTAGTTGTGCGACACATGATTCGCCAACAAGATGCGTCTTGTGAATAGACGTTCAGTGTTGTGTAGTGGCGTCACTAGGGTCAGCGGCACCCAGGGGCGCTAACCCTCCGCCGCCCCTCCTCCCACCTCCCTTCAACCGGGGGGGGGGGGGGTGTCGTGGGAGTTGCCAGAGGGCACTTCTGAAGCAAACAAAAAAACCGATTGACGTCATTCAAGGTGCCATGTAGCTTCCCGTGTGCTCTCTCGGAGGACGCTTCCTCTCCCTCTCTGTGCTGACATTAGCGGGCGTTAGGCAACAGCTTAGAGACAAGCAAGGTCATGTAAGCTTCTCGCCGTAGTTCCTTCGGCTGCCACTTGCGGCTGCAGGTGGGAGAAGAAGCTTGACTTTTGCTTTGCAGTTATGCAGCGGAATCGCGAAATTTTTGAGGCTGCGGTCCCACTGCAGCCATCTTGAACAAGGAGTTAGTTCAACCAATAGATGGCGACACGCACCCGTGGGTTTGCCGAAATATTGGTTCACAGCGGGATGGCTCGAGCACCATCACGTTCCCATCGTGGCCTTGCTCGCACCGCTGCCACCTGTGCTCAGCTGGCTCAAAAGCGTGGCCCAGCAAACTCATGTATGCGAGAATGTCAGGCTGGGTAGTAATTGTTTTCTGATATAGGAACATACGGTTTGGCGTTGCCACGGGCTTTCTGAATAAATCTTGCCAAGAAGAAATCAATTGTTCATTGACGTGTCAATATTCTGTCAATAAACATTCTTCTGCAGGAACGCATGCCCAGTAGACTCAATCTTCCAAGACACCAGTTAAAGCGGACGTCTAGTAAACTGCTTAGCGATTTACGGTACTTACCTCACCATTATAATGACCACTAAAAAGTGGCGTCTCAAAATATTGTGTTTCACGGGATCCGGAAGATGTTGTAAAGGTTGTTACATTATGGGGTACCCAGAAAACAAACGCCGATGCAATATTTTTGGAAGTACCGACACCTATAATGTTGTAAGTACAGCTTAGGAGGAATATAATGAAAAGCATCAGAATAAATAGGAAGACACTTATTTGAAATGAAGACGCTATGAATGAGCGGCGTTTAGCGACGGCAAGCGATGGGCGTTCGGGAATTTATAAGTTCATGTGATTGCTAACTATGGACATGCGGACAGTGAAGACCTGTTTTGCCGGGAGATGGAGTTGCGGTGATGACCTTATATTGGACGACTCGTGGCAGACGAACAAGCAAGTTTCTTCTCAGCGAATGGTAGGCGTTCAGTGTCAAGCGCAGCACGTCCCTACTGACGTTTTGAACACTTGCCACTTTCGACAAAAGTTTTGGCAACTCGGCTAACTTTGCGGAAAAACTTGAAGTCTTTCCGCATATAATAATGGTGTATTCCTCGAGTCCAGCGCCATCATGAATAGTATCTGAAAACAATCCACTATTCATTTGGTGGCTGGCAAAGCGTATCCGCATCTGTGGAGTCATGGTCGATGCATACTCTAAGTGATTGGATGTTCACACGATGCCTGCCACGACGTCCAAACACGTCATTGACGTTCTACGCTCTCTTTTCCCTGCTTTTGCCCTACCGAAAATACTTTTCTCTGATAACGCGCTGAATCTTGTTTCAAATAAAATAAACAAGTTCTTGAAAAAATAAATAAAAACGGCATCAGGCATCACATTAGTATACCATACCATACTGCAACTAACAGGCAAGCAGAACAGATAGTGTGCGAAACGAAGAAAGCCCTCTTGAAGCTTACGGAAGAAGCAGTTTAGTGAAGAATCGCCGGGCTCTTGTTCCGGCAGCACACGACAGTCTCGTCTTCCACGGGGAAAACGCCCGCCGAAGCAATATTTGGCGGACGAAGAACCACACCCCTCGATCTCGTGACACTATGGGCTACGAACGAAGATCGAGAGATTCCCAGATCGGGAGTAATGGCAGTTTATTCGGTCGGACAACTCGTCTACGTGAGGAATTTCAACGGAAGTTTGGCCTTCCATGTAAAACTTGAATAGAAAAGGCTCTATGTTGGTTCAGCAGAAGGTGTCATCTCTCTGAATACGTTGGATATCAATTCCCTTGAGTGTAAATATAACGAAATCACAAGACTCTCTTTGTGCATTGTGTAACTGCCCTTGTATGTGGTAGTAGAAGCTATGGTAGTGATTTGGACCTTTCACACCAGGCTCCTTTTTTCTTATTTTTCGCCTCATACTCTTTTGCAGTTTCAGTATGCTTCAAGAATCTTTTGGAACGGGGACACTCTATCTCAACGAGACCATTTGTTCCAAGTAGTCTATCAGGGAATGCTGCTAGAAATCCGTCCATACTAACGAATAAGCCACACTTTCGCACAGTGCAGTTTTCATGTTCCACGTACCGTTGTAAAGCAGCATCCTCATTGATTCTACCACATACTGTTGCGGGTGAAGAAAAGTCTTTGGGGTACATGTACTTGAAACAAGTGTGGCACTGTACGTTGTGGTTTGACACCCACTAATGCCATCGTCCTTATACAGCCACATCAAGTAATCATTACCTCGTCACCTTATATTGCTCTTCATCAACAGTAAGTACAATAGGATACCTCCATATTACAATCCAAGATTTGAAAAAAAAAAAATGGAGTCGTTCAGTCCTTCATTAAGTTTATTATTTATATAATATTACTACTTTACATACCCTCGAGACGATTGACAGCCATCGTCGATTTTCAAATATACCTGTGTATGAATTAGACGCCCAATCACAAAGAACACAGCGTGCCACCTCTTTTCTTTGGATCTTCTTTTTGAAATCAGCGCAAGCTTGCGTGTTCTGTCTTCTGAGACGGTTAGAACGGTCGCACATAAAACCCGCGTTTCTCCTACCCGGCCACTTCCTCCTCTCGTTATGTGTAGTTGGTTAGGTATAACTAAATAAGCTATAATAATGGTGTATTATTCATATTTACTGTAAGATACTGTAAGAGCAGCGGATTTAGTGGCTCTAGGCATGAAGTGAATTGGGGTGTATTTTCCTTTTCATCTTTATTGTTTATTGATTTCAATCATATCAAATAATGAGTACAATATATCACACTACGCTTGTGTAATTATTTATCTTAGATTTGTTAACCTGACCCAGCATTTGAACCATTTATTTGTCGATAGTAATTCTTCCAATATATTTTCTAAATGTGAAGGTAAAAAGACACGGACACTGATGATATGATGCAAACGCCAATGCCGCCCTCGAAAATTTCTTGAACATTAGAAATCAGCAGTTTTGTCTGCCATCCGGCAGGTAGCGCATCAAAACACCGAAACAGTTTTTAATTGTTTTTAAAATTAACAAAGCTTTATGCCTATCAAGAAACTAAAGCAATAAGATCATTGTGAAAGTCTAATACATCGCAATGTTTATCTATTCCATACAATAAATATTATTAGATGCCAATAAATCTGTTTTATGTTCATAAAAGAAATGCATCAAAAATAGGTGAGTTTGAAGGGCTCCTGGAGCGTTGTGACTTTGAAAATGAAAAAAAGCCATCGTCCACCTCTTGGGCAACCATTGTAGCTCTAAATGTTAAAAAAGATTTTATCATAGTTTAATTGTTTCCTCAGCAGCATTTGAAGCACCGTGACTCGAACCAGAAAAAAGTGCTACGTTTGATATAAAATATATAAACAAAAAAATTTTACACAACAGTAAATCTTTTTTCTGCATATTACCAATTATGAGCACTACATCTGTAGCTAATTTGATTGCCCTAGCGCATCTCATTAAAAACATATTTGTGCCAAGAAATTACAATTTTAATGCAGTATTTGGAGAGATGAATATAACAAAGTGGCGCAAATACCAAAAAAGTGTATCGTTGCATTCTGCTCCGACATCATCTTAACAAAACTGCTCTATTGGAACCGTGTTATCTGTGATAGACAGCCAGGTGGCGCCCCCTGCACACCTGGTATATAAAGAGCATGTCGCACGAGATTAAAACAGTTGAACACCGGGCAAGCTTGCGTGCACTCGTCAATGCCCCGCTGTCCCGCGAACTCACCGAACATTACAGTGGCGACGAGGATGGGATTTGTAGGCCAGCCTAGAAACCATTTTTGAGGTATTAGGCGAGCATTACGCCACACAGTGCCGTCATGCAAGTACCACTTGTCACAAGTGTCGGGGAAAGGGGCATCTGGCACGAGTGTGCAAGGGGAAGACAGCGGATGCAACCGCCGGCGGCCCGACGACGTCCACTAGAATACCGAGATCGGTCCACACCTTGGACGGAGCGGGCCAGTCGCAAGATGTCTCACTGCCAGAAGTCTACGAGATGTGGGAAATGACATCTTCTGCAGTCGACGGCCAACCTTTCCGAGTGGAAGTTACGGTTAACGGGACTCCATTGCTGATGGAACTTGACACGGGAGCTAGCGTGTCTGTTGTGTCTGAGGAGACATTTCGACGCGAATTTCCATCAAGGCAGCTGGACCCGTCGCGCATCATGCTGAAAAGCTATTCAGGTGAACTTTCCCCAGTTCAGGGAAGCCTTACTGCAACGGTGAGACTTGGAAACCTCGAATGTCAGGACATCCTGTATGTTGTCCCTGGCTCCTGCCCATCTCTGCTAGGACGTGGCTGGATGAAAGGCCTTGGCATCAAGCTTTCCAACGCGAAGGATGTCAACTTCGTGACTTCTGTTGCGAACCTCGTTGCTGAATACTCCAGTATCTTTGATGAAGGTCTGGGAACTTTCAAGGGGGTGGCCGCAAAGATAAATCTTCAGGACAACG